CTCTCCCGCGATACACTACTGAGCTTCGCAGTATACAATATCGAATTCGTCGTCGCCGAGGCCGGGGCGCAGCGTGTCGTACAGCAACAAACTTCTGTTTTCCTTACCTTTTGGAATTTAGGTATATATTATTTACACAAATTTCTGATCAAATGTCTATGATTCTATTGGGAACTAGTATATTTTTTCTATCCAATAGCAATCATGCATAACTATATTGTTTAGTAATGACTTTCCAGAAGCCTTCCATTCCTCCTTCAGGTACAGGTTTGAAATAATCATGTGAAGCATGAAAGCCAATTGATTTCTGTTGCAGTGGTTAATATGAAGCTTCACTTGATATAGCAAACACTCTCATCCACAGATCATTTTTGCTTCAACAGCGATTATTTGCCTAAGGTTACTCGTCCAGTCTGCTACGAATATATATATATATACATACCAACACAACAGCTAACATTAACCACTCTTATTTTCATATTCTACGAATGTACCTCATAATATAGATAAGGCTATAAAGCGTCGATGTAAACCCATGCATATTTTATCCAAAAACAGGAACGTGTCTAGCGAGGGTAGACTGGTGTTATCGTGCGACTGGCATGGTCCTCGCACCTGCGCAAACGTGTATCATTCGGGAATCAATGAAATATGAACTAGAACTGCTGGTCGAAATACGCAAGATAGCACCAATTTATGCCACCAGTGAGGACAATGGTGACTGTGTCGGAGTAAACTACTTCGGGTGAATGGAGTGGTAGGCCTATATATGTAATACTCCACCTGTGAACGTACTCCACGGCGCTTTCCAGATGTTTATTGTTTTTGAAGCTTTGTCTTGCTCTTTTATTGGCATTTTTTTTTCTTGAGACATTTACGATATGCTGGTTTATATTGGAAGCGGTTATATTATAATCACTTTCTGAAAGGGAAGATTTTCTGTTTACAAAGGATCGAACATCACACAACGCACATTCATTTCTAATCATCACAATAAATGTTGAACCTTTCGCTTTCAAAACTGTCTCAATCCACTGAAGCTCATTTTTTTGAAGAAGTAAAAGTATGTTGTATAAACTCACACACACACATACACCCGCGCGCACGCACACACACACACACACACACACACACACACACACACACACACACACACACACACACACACACACACACACACACATACACACACACACACACACACATACACACACACACACACACACACACACACACACACACACACACACACACACGTAAATATATGCATGTATACGCGCGCACACACAAATCCTCCCTCCTCCCTCCCTCCTTCCCTTCCCCCCTTTCTTCTTTCCCTCCCTCCCTCCCTTTCTCCCTCTCTCTCTTCTTCCCTCCTTCCCTCTCTCCCTCTCTTCTTCCCTCCCTCCCTCCCCCTCCCTTTTCAGATTCTAGACATCGATTAATCTCTCTATTCATATTACATTTCACATAAAATTCCTCGTGATGAACACACACCTGTGAAGCGCTTACCCTATAATCTGGTTTCCTCTGACAGTGTTTATGTTTCCAGTACATGAGAACTAATCACGTTGGTATATAGAGTGCCTATGTCAGGTCTTTATTTAGTGTGGTTTATACCTTGTGGTATTTTCGATATATTGCAAGTATCGCTGGACACGAGTAGTGAATTGTGGGTGCAATGAAATGAGGCATTGCATTTGTTAGTTTATGGAATATTCTTTTCCTCTTATTTAGAGATTGATTTTAGTTATGTTGTTATAAATAACGCTTAGAGAATGAGCAAATAACTAATCATTTCAGAAAATTCGTATTTTGGGTTAACGATTTTTACAAAAGATTTGGACTTGCAGTAACCAGTTTTTAAAAGGTTAAAACCGATTGGTAACTTCTTATTTTGATAGTATTCGCTAATTTCTTATAAGCTCTATTACAAGAGGCAAACCTGACCGCATACACATATCAAAATTAAGAATACAGCATTACTAATTCCACTAAACAATACACACAAACATACATACGAGACTAAATTATAATCACTGATTTTCCTCGCCGCATCACGCATGTCCATTCTCCGTAAAATTCCAAGTACGATTTTCCTCACAAGATTACGCATGGTCTTGTCCATTCTGGGTAAAATTCCAAGTAAGATATACCCTTCCTCGTTCTAGCACCTGCCCTGCCATATATTGTTGGTCCTGAGTGGTCCATTGTATGCACGACCAATTCCGTTGTATGTCCTGTTTCTTCAAGTGCAGTCACGAGCTCTATAACACCAGCGGAAGACTATTTAGTTTAATGTATTGGTAGTTATTTTATGTTTTTTTTCCCTTGAAACTGTCTGTATATTGGTGTTAATTGCATGTCTTAAGGTAGTTAATTTTAGAGGTCAGTTTGTGCCTGACTCAAAATTAATGTGGATCTGATGTGAAATTCTATTACGCTTTGTAATGTAGTAATACTGTTTTTGACGTATGCTCTTTATCAAATATTGTAGGAT